AAAGTCGAGAGACATTTTCACGGTTTCTAAAAAATTCTCTTGAAAATTTCGAGATAATATACGTATGAGTGATTTTTCAGCACATAATGTAGATGTATATATACTTTATATATATAAATATATTTTATAATAAATATAAATGTATATTTATTTTATAATAAATATAAATTTTTTTTCAACTAAACGAACGGTTGTAATTAAAATCAGCTGGTTGCGACGTGCGTGGTAATTGCGGAGTGACAAATGATTTCAGTATAAGAAATCAATTCGATGTTTATCCGTGAAGCGTAAGATAAGAGTTTGATCTTCCTCGGCTCGGTCTTTGAGTCTCCGTATGCCGTGAATAGACCGCTCGCGAGAGAGTCATCGAGCGATCGCGTCTGTTTTTATAGACCGGAGAAACTCTCGAGAGGCGCGATCGTTAGTGCGAGATCAATGGTCGACGTCGATGATCGACGATCCGCAGTTGAGAGTCCTCAGGCTCGACACCCGTCATATACCTTCAAAGTTCAAAGCGCGGAATCGCATCCAAGTTGACTGACGTGTCTTCGCGATACGGCAACTTCGAGCCTGCCGACGCAACACACCCGACGAAAAATTACAGGCTCGCGCACTCGACAATTACGCGCGAGCTCGCGCGCGAGGTTGCACAGGCTCCGAAATAAAAATCAGATATCTCCATATTGTGTAACGGCAGGTCTGTGCCTGCGTGAGAATCAGACGACTCCAACTTCAACGTTACAGTGAAATGTCCACGGCGTTTTCATTTCTCAACGAAAACTTTAGAAATAGAGAAGCTGCATTTTATATATATAGAAATTTAGTAATACGTTTTGATTCTGGGAAACTGTGAAAGTATTAAAGAGCGAAAGCTAGATGGATTTTCTAGTAAACTAGGAAATGAAAACGGAGAAATTTCTATATTTTCTCACCATATTTAATATTTGTCGATGTGTCGATGCTAGGTTTTTTACTATTGGATATTATATTTATAAAAAATATAACAATAAAAACTAAGCAAATCCTCTCTTATGAGTTTCTAATCACAAACTGATGTGTGATTTTGTTTTCCTTAGAATATTGCACTGGGTGCGAGTTTCCGAATGACGACCGGTCGTTAGAGCAATTTTTCGGCACAAGCAAGGTATATTCTCAAGGCAGATTCTGCCTAAACTTCCGTTAGACCGAAATAGACGCGAAATGACACGGATAAGCGGCTGGGTGTCGCTGAAATAAAACTCGCGGCCATCTGGATTCGCGATGTATGGAAAAACAAACTCGTCGCTTCGGTTCCTCCGGATTTTATGATTCGTTCGAAAACCTCGCGATAACCGAACGATTCGCGGATATACGAAAATATATGCCCGGGATCGAAGAAACTGAATTTTTAATTTTCCATGAATCCCTGAAAGAGAGACTGACGTTCTGCCAAGAATGATAAAAAAACGTCCTTCTGAAATCAGAGTATTCTGAAATAATAAAAAAAATCAGTATTTTTGAAATACATTACTCTGATCAGAAATTCAAGTATATTAGTTGAAGGCAAACAGCAAATTCAGAATGATATTAGCCATATAAGCTAATTGTTGACTAATAAATTTGTTAAATAGAATAATGTTGAAGATAATTAATATTTTTATGATTATATTATTTAGATACATTTATAATAATATCTTTTACTCTTTTCATATAACATTTAGAGGAGAACCTTACCAAGACTCGTTCACAGAGATAAAAAAGTCTGGCAATCCGTTGAACGGCCGTCTGCTAACGCACGTTTCGTTTCCCTTAGCCCAAGAATATATATAAGTTATTTTCAACCTCGATCATCGCGAGAAAAAGCGCGAGCTGCGTGAGCAAAGTTCGTCTCGAGAAAATACGAAAAATGCGTGCGTAAAAGTAAAATTCAGCCGAGCGTTTTCGATTGCAAATCTTTCAAGCAGCGATTACTTTAAACATATTACTTTTTAATAAGTCTTTTTTTATAGTTGCAACTACAAAATTTTTACGTACAACAATGTCAACAATGAAAGAATAAAATTATGATCATTTTTATATATTATATGTATCGTTTTATCTCTAAATATAACACACGTCTTCCTGTAGCAATACTTTTTTTTTAATAATAAAACTGTAAAATCTGTCTAAATGTTCTATCTGAAATAAGCAGGTATTCCATATTACGTGAGTAAAACGAATTAATAATTATAATCTAAAATATAAGTAATATCTTTTTTGAATAAAATAGAGATAAAAATCAGTAATTTTTAAAATTTTAATTTCTACTTCAGTTAATTCAAATATAAAAAATTTTATATTAAATTCTACGTGATCCATAATACAATTTAACGGAACTTGTTTACAAAGTCGATGAGACGAGATTTATTTCACTCCTCCGCATTAGGCGTCTTCATTTTCCCATAATTTGACTCGGATAGCTTACGAAGGCACAAGAGACGGAAAGGGGATGATCGGATGCCGATTAAGGGCGGGGAAATCGGAAACAGCGAGAGAGTGCACAACAGGAAAGTGGAGACGCACACATTCGTAAGGTAAGGCAAGAAGGGAAGACGTTCTATTTCCGGATGCGCGGCTTACCAAATATACGCTACGCCACTCGCCTTTACGACGTATATAGCTTCCGCCGCGCGTCCACCCGCCCCCCCCTCTTCTTGCCACCCCCACGTTTACGTGCGCCATTTTGACGGGACCCGGTCTCGGTCTCTCACGTTCATTAAGCGGGCCCCGCCCGCCGCGGATGCGGACGCGTTTAAACAACCGTAATTGCACGTCCAACTCGTGCGGTTCTCTCCCTCTGCGTCTGCGGTAAAACCACGCCGGGTTTGTTAAACGTTTCAGCTTTCACTCGGCCTAGTCCAGTTTGAAGAATTGCAATTGCTTCACCTAGCAGACGAATTATTTCATACGTATCTCTTTTATAATGTATACGAGTATCTAAATGATTCTGCGTATGAACGAAATTATATATTAGATATTTATCAGAAACGTTCAGTAATATTATTTATTAAATATTAGAAATGTTGTTACTCGCTAAAGATACGTTATTATTAGAAATAATGATATCGTTAAGAGATATTTTTATTAAAGATATAAAGTTAATACGTTCGTGAAGAATTAAGATTTTATACCGGCGCATCAGATGTCTACATGTAAAATATGGTCTTAATTCTTATTAGTTGTTAACTTATAAAAGAGCAAAATTTTATATCGACAAGATAACTCGAAGTCAGATCTAACATAAAAATGTGTGGGGTATAAATACGAATTTTTAGAATTTCTCTTTACTCTGTTATTTTATATATTATCGCTGCAGCTTCAATCCTTCCTCTCTAAATCAACAAGTAAAATTATAATATAATTGTAAAACCTAAAATTATAACGCACGCATTTGTATGTTAGGAATGGGCGGATCAAGGAAACAGGTGTCTTCGTGAAATAATCGCCGCGCAGAAACGCGTCGTTCCCTTTTTTTTGTCAAAACCGTTTTCTTTATTTTGTAGAAAACTGCGTGATAAGTACACCAATAATCTTGCAATGTCGAAGTGTTGCCGATTTATACTGGAGGGGCAGGACGGGGAGGGCCGCCCGCGAAGGGCTTTCGGGTCTTCGTCAAGCGCCTCGAAGTCGAGATCCGGGCGACCTCCCCGCCGACCCCGTCGTGTGTTACATTGTTTGCTTTTCTTTTTTTTTCCTAGCAAGCCAGAGCAGTGAACAACGAACATGTCTTTTTCTTCTTTCCCTATGTGATAGTGTGGTACGACTCTCTATAGTGTATAAAAAGAACTCCCTTTCATATCTCTCATTCTCTCGCTCTCGCTCTCTCTTTCTCTCATTCTCTCGCTCTCTCTCTCTCTCTCTCTCTCTCGCCCCGCCATGGCGCGCTCGAACGAACGTGACTCGCATTCGAAATGTGCAATTTCGCAAGCGCGACGCGCCTCTCTCCGAGTGCGGCACGAACTCGCGCGATCTCTTCCCTTTTCTTTCTCTCTTTCCCCGCTTCTTCTCCTCGCCTCTCGCGACGAGCCGCGCGAAACTGTTTTTACTTCCTTCGAGATGAGATTTTTCTTTTTTTTTTGCATCTTGATTTTTTTTCTTCGTGTTACTCTCGGTAGAAGCGATCTACTATTTTTAACACTGTTCCTACGACATCGATTGATTACGTTGAAAAAAAGGAGTCCTGATTTCCGCTATCTCTTTCTCTCCACTTCTGTCGCTCTATCTTTCTCTCTCGCCCTTTCTCTCGCCCGCTCTCGCGCATTGCCACGGTCGAAAACAATTTTTTTGCCTGTTTGAACTTGTCGAGTGACGCGACAAGTTCTGTCTTTTATTTCTGCCACGGAACTCTGTACACGCCGGAACACTGTGCGCTGGCGTTCGAAAAGTCAGTCGAGGAAAAAATGGTTCCAAAGTGGTAATGTTGTCTCTCTCAGTGCAAAATCTAACACACACACACACATATATATGTATATATATATGTGTGTGTTAGATATATATATATATATATACAGGGTGTCCGAAAAATCGCCTACTCCACTTTGGGAGGTGATTCGGGACCCAAAAACAAGCAAAAAAGTTCATACAAACATAGGTCCGGAAATGAGCCGTTTCCGAGTTATAGCCACTTTTATGTTCAAAAATCGTAATTTAGAATCCGCTTGGCATCCCTCTTTCTTAATTATTTCTTAAATTAAAAATTTTTATTTTTAGGCGATTTTTCGGACACCCTGTATAGATATATATATATATATACACATACATACATACATACATAAACCATTTAAAGTAGACCTTAGTTTTTATATATAAAAGTATATATATGACATATACATATGTATATACGTTTTATATATAAATATTTAATTTATGTATATTATAAAGAAAAATATACTTAACTATAATGAACACTAAACTTTCGAGACAAATCTTTTAACATTCATACAGTTAAAAGACAAAACTATCCTTTTGTACGTTTTTTCCCCGACTGACTTTTATGTAAGAACTATATGGGAAAGCACATTTTCCAATATGTACAAAGTTCAGTGATTTCTGCCTTTGTCACGCTCCTCTGCAACGCACTTCTCTCTCTCTCTCTCTCTCTCTCTCTCTCTCTCTCTCTGTCTTTCTCTCTTTCTCGGATAACACTTTTGCACTGATAAGATGAGAGCTCGTGATATATGACTCACCGATTTCTTCCGTTTTTTTTTTGTGAACGTAAAACGTTTGTAAGAAAGAGTCTTATGTTACGAGCTTCCCTTATTAGCACGCAACAGTAGGAGGGCTGACTGCAGGACGCAACGTACCTACGAACAACGGCGAGACATTCCTAGGGTGATTTCATTCGTTTAATTCGACTCGCAATTTTGCACCCGTCAATGCTTCCGGAATTCTTTGATCCTCAGTGTCGTACAACACGAAACGCAATTTTTCTTCGATTAATTAAAACTCATTAGAGAACCAAGAAAACTGGGGGTGACGAAACGATTCAATTCATATGAAATTAATTGGATGCAAAGTCGCGAATCGAATTGATCAGACAGACCCATGCCAGGGGTGACTCGAGGGAAGGAAGAGATAAAGGAAAAAAAAATTAGGATCGATTGGTCGAAAGACTTATAGGGTGGATTTCGCGAGAGGGACAATGGCGAATCTCTCTCTCGACCTCCCTTCCACCGCGAGGGACTAGACATACCGATCTTATCAACAGTACAATTATAATTACAGCTTAGAAACGAAAGCTTTTAAAAAAGGGGGGACACCGCTTTTGACCCCTTGCCTTGCAACCGCTCCGCTCCGCGTCACAATTTCGCCGGAGGGAGGACGCGAGTTATTTTGGAACACCTTGGGAAATCACATTGCGCCTAAGAGAGAGAGTATCTTATCCTTTCCGCCGCTATAATTCGCCGACAAGGACAATAGTATCGGCTGTGTTATCCGAATCGGTGGAATCGGTGAAATCGGCGGCCGCGATTGTTCCCTGACCCGGACGCACGGCTCAACGTGACTAGATTAATTGGCAGCAGCCGGCTTGATCTCGCACCTTTGATTTTAACCGTGCGCGAGAGCTGCAGATCATTCGGCAGATCGATCGTCTCGCCGTTAATTCCGAAAGCCCGTCGTAATGACGAAAAATCAATTAGAAATGCGAAGCGAAAACTTTTGGCGATTAAGAACACATTAAGAAAAACAGTTTTCGAAGTCGAGGAAAAAAAAAGAATCTAATTTCATTAACTATTACTTATGACACATTTTTTCTAAATTGTTAAAAGTAAAAGACTGGCTGTATCTTCAATTTTGTTCTTTTACTGTCGAACTTGCAGCTCCAATTGACCGTTAGTCTCCGCTTCCGACACATTTCCATTATCTTATTGCTTCTTTGCTTGTATTTTGCAATGGACTTTGAAACATTACGGTTTCGATTCGCCGCGGGTCTGCTGACGCACTGCGACAATCGCGGACGGTGTCACGATCAAGCCAGCCTCGCGTTACGATGAGATTGCTGAGAATGGAATTTTATTTGCGCGAAGTGCGGCATTCGATAAGAGTTATTTACGAAATTCGCTCAGTTCGATAACACGATGATTTAAACTGTATATATTAATTAAATACTTCTATTTCTTTTCTTTCGAACGCTTAAAGCGTTTTGTTGATAATTTTGTGAGCCGAGCGGTTTGCTAAACAATTAGTTTGTATAAAAAATATGTTATTTTGGCTTTTAAATAACTTAAAATAGCAATCTCGAAGATTGAACCGTGAATTCGGATGGGCAAAAGGATATTTCATCCAGGATCGCTTTCATTACTCTCTTTTTTTTCTCTCTCTCTCTCTCTTTCTCTCTCTCTCTCTCTATCTCTCTCTCGTGTCGAAAGGCCACGATTATACTCATACATCTCGCACCTCTCATCAAATCCCAATTAACAAATTGCTAGATATATCACGATGTCTGATAGCGATAATAGTAATCGACAATAGCTTGCTAAAAATTTCACTTCGCCTAGAACTTATCGTCTAAAATATCTCGCGCTCGCGTCGTCGTGTTTTAAATTCAATCTAAGTCGACGACGTCGCAAATTTAACCAAAACTTGCACAGGACCCTTCGAATTATACAACGTTTTTTTTTCTCGAACTCCCTTCTGTGCTCCGCTCTCCTCCGCGTTTCGTCTTCTATAATACGCTCGTCACAATCTATCTGTCTCCCGAGAGTACACATATACGTACGGTTTATTTTTCCCACTGCAGAAAAAAGTGAATGCGTGCGCGAGACAACGAGATTGTGATCAACGGACGATGAAAGACGAATGGAGAAGGGCAATACAGAAGTGAGAATTCGAAAAGAAAAAAAAAGAAACATCTTTGCCAATATATTCCTCTTTGATCGCTTCGCTCCGCACACGCGCTAATTGTAATTTACGTACAATACAATTAAACCTCGTCGCCTAATATTGCATGCGCGTGAACACATCTCAAAGGTGAAACAGAAAGACGATATTTTTTTTCCCTCGACTCGCCACACAGCGACTTAATGAACATGAAACGAAACAATGTGTCGCCGTGCGGGCGTAATTGCCCGGACACTTTCACGAAGATTGAAATTTACAATTTTCCTCTTTCTCAGGAAGAATTTGTTAACGATGATTAGGACCTCGTCGTCAGGATATTACACTTTCACGCACGTCGAATGCTGAATCTTGTGTCGAGCGATTTGACGAAATCGGCGTCGCGGATACGCACGGGCGGTGATATAAATGAGAAAATTTCGTGCACTTAACAGAATTCCGAACGGATATCGTAGGGCGCCAACCAAGGCATCTCCTCGGAAACGAAGCGGAAGCTCGCGAAATTAACGCCAACAAAGAGTGCACACGAGAGATTATTCCGCTCTACGCGTGCCACCTTCCCTCCTGTCTCGCGCATTCCTCGTACGCCACGCACGATCCGTAATCACAAAGGGAAACGTATCGGTATAATTTCATTGCAATTTCTCCCTGCGTCGCGGACCCTTAAGAAATACAATAATAATTGGTGACTTCTCATGAAATAAATCGAGTGATTCGCTCTGTTTCGAAACTGAGATTCAAAGTTGACAAGGCATTTCCGTACAAGCCGACCTAGCTGATTTTATAAGTCTTGAAAATTTAATTAAACATCTATATTTTACGAGAGACAGTACTAGAAGTATTTTAAAAGTAAGAAATCCTGATAAGAATTACGTTTAATGATTTATTAAACCATGTAATCAACCATTGATGATATATAATATATCTATGTCTTTGAAGTTTAAGATTTATCATCAATTTTTGAGAATAAATTATATATAATTATATATAAATATATATGAAATGTGGTTATTTGTTAAACTACAAAACGCGTCATCAAACTCGAATCCTCGTTCGAACAGAACTCGTCCTATTTTGTCAAAACTGAGGCCTTATCTATTTGAATAATAATAAAGATAGCGTTATGTCGGACACAGGGCGAGCCATTCGGAACGCGAAAGGGATGCGCATTCTCATAGATTTGCATTGCAAATATATTCTTGTATGCACGCCGCCATTACAAACGTACTCTGTCTGCAAAACAAATGTTTATCGAACAAATAACGATCATTCGATTCTTCCTCGATGCACGAATGCACTACGGTCGATCGTTAATTAACCGGTTATATTAACGTCGATTGGATTTAACTCAATATGTTGATGAACTAAATTTTCTTTCTCTCTTTTTGTTATATTTACACTCGAATAACTTAGTAGATAGGCAATTGCTAACAACAAGAGTTAGTTTAACCAGAAATATCGATGTAACCGTGCCAAGCAATCGTATTTATATTTCCTCCCTGTGTATATTATAATATATAATTCTAATCTAAAGAGAAAGAACATATACGGTAGTTAACGCAATGCTGATTGGAGGAATTAATCTTTTCCATTCCAGCTATTTGAGTTGCAAGAAATTTCGAAACTCTTACTTTATTCTAGAAATTACGCATCAATGTAACGCGATAACAGATGACCATCCGTTCTATATAACTCTCCTTTTTAACTTTTTCAAATAAATTATCAGTACATCGATTTGCTAGTTATGATTATGATCAAACATGTAATGATCACGAACACATAATCTTTAAAATAAACAAGAGATCGACGAATTTCCCTTATAATTATATCTAATCTCTATGCCGGAAAAGATTCTCGACGTTGTTGATTGCTTCAAGTACACATAGCATTCGAGGTAGAACATAATCGACTTTGACTTTGCCAGAAGAATATACATTTGTCGGAGGTGTGTGCGTGCGCGTCCCATTATAGTTTCGTACGGCCGGCCATCTCGTGTTTTTAATGGTATGCGTGTTTGTAACGTATGTTTGATGTTTTACTTTTAAATCGGTATGTAGCATATCGTTTTTTTTTTAGTCGTAATAAGTATATTGATATTGAACTACCTAGCCTAATATGTACAGAGTCCCCGTTTTCACTCTTGGCACTACATTATCCCCCTACACAACTTCTCACACGCATACACAAACACGCGCGAGCGCGAGCGCGCGCGGGTCCCGGCTCTTTCTCTGTCTTTTTTATTTTTTCTTCCTTTTTTTCCTCTCGACCTTGCAATTAGCCGCGCCTCTTGCGCGTCTTTCGTTCTACTCGTTCCACACACACGCGCGCTTGCATTTACTCGTACGCACGCCTGGTCTCGCACTCACGCAACCGAACGAATTCGCTCATACTCAACTCGTGTCCCGTTCGTCCGTTTTTTTTCTTCTCTCCTTTTTCCTCCACAACCACCATCGCGTGAAACCACACTTGCCCCGTCCGGCCGTCGCGCAGCAGCCGCCCGTCGCGAATAAAATGTTATATCGACAATAAATAATTTACTAAGTCTTCGTCGCGATGAACAAACTTCCGCGATGTCCGACGATCAGAGCCTCCGATCGAGAGCTGGAAGAGGGTGACCGGCGGGAATCCGCTTCGTCGCCGAATCGGTGTCGCGCGAGTCGCGAACCTCGCACCCCGTTTCTCCTCGAAGTGAAGCTTCTCGCCGTCTAATTCCCGGACAGGGAGAGCCCCTCGTTCCAGGGTAGGCCATCGCCGCTTTGCGTCGCGCGTTGGTAACGCCGTTTTCCACGCGCCGGGCTTTCGACCCGTCCATTTCTGCGCTGCTTCCCATCCTCTTCACGCCCGACGCCGTAATCCTCATGCCACCGCTTTTGAAATAATCTGAGATCTAGGCTAGACACTGGCCGCGTGTGGAATTGCACAATGAGACGCGTCAATAACGGCGGCGGCGACGGCGCATCGATTCTCCCGGTCGAAGGATAAAACAAAAAGAGGACAGGCGCGAACCAACGCACGACGATTGAGCGCAGTCTTTGATGACTGATTTTAACTTTTTCAGTCACTACCAGGAGCCGGCTTCTTTACACTTCCGCCGGCCCTCCTTTAGGCCACGAACGGACGACCCTTTCTCTCTCTCTTTCTCTCTCTCTCTTTCTTTCATTATAGAAGAACACCAGAAGAACGATCCAACGAGGATACCACCAGCCGGGACGATATTACATTTTCTCGCGCGTATGCGATACACGTTGTTGAACACGATGGAACACGACCGATGGAATTTATCCTATGTTGAAGCTTCTCCCGTGAGTCAGTCTTGAAGGGCATCGTCGTTGTCGTTGCAGTCGCGCAGAACGATCTTGAGAACCGTCGTTCGTTTTCGAAGTCGGACGATGCAGCTGCGACAATGACGACAACGGCGTCAAGGAAGGAGGACGCCGCGGATCAAACCTTCTGATGGAATTGCTGCTGCTGCTGGGGTTGATGTTGCTGTTGTTGCTGTTGCTGTTGCTGCTGCTGTTGCTGCTGCTGCTGCTCTTGCCGGCTTTCGTCGGTTTCGCAGGGCACCACGGTGATGTTGGACAGATTGCTACTGCTCAGATTACTGCTCACGTTACTACTGGACTCGGAATAACTAGAAAAGGGCGGTTTGTTGACCGGCATCGACGTCGACGATGGCGTCGTATGGCTCGGGAACATCTTGAACATCGAGCGCGCGGTGTTCAACAACAAGTTGCTGCTGCTGGGGCTCTGACTCCGCGTCACCCGATCGCCGGGCATGTCGAGCAGCCCCGGGTGAAGGTGCTGGCTGCTACTTGGCGTCCGATAAGGCGGCGGACTCTCGCTATCGAACACCGTGCGATTCGGCGGCGCCCGCACGCACTTCTGATAAATCTCGCTCTCCTGGAAATAAGAACGTTCGTTATAATCGAGCGTTTAAAAAAGGACAATAAACGGTACAATATCCGCGTGGCTCTTTGAAATTCATGATAATTGAACTTTGATATCGTGATGATTCGGCAATGTCTACGTCGATAATTTTATATCGGATGCATGAATGCAAATTTCTTGGAAGCTATATTTGAACACGAATAACGTTTGAACAAATAAAAATGATATTTTTTGTGGGGCAAACAGAAAATGCACAGGATTTTCTTGTGAAGAGGATGACGTAAAAGTAAAAATTCAAGATAAAATTGTAATCATTAAAGGATTCGAAGTAAAAAAAATATAACGCGCTTTTAATAACTATTTTATAATACGAAATATATGATAAAAAATTAATAGTCATAGATTTTTAATTTATAAACAATAAAATGTTCGAGCGCCTCGTTTAAGTTTCATCAAATTGTAATACATTCATTCATAAAGAATTAATTTATGGTAAGAGTATCAAGAAGTTGTTAATTTTTTTATTTTTGACATCAAGATCCCTGGCACAGATGTGCCGCCGATTTTTTTAATGTTTATAAATTAATTTTTAAATTTATAATTTAAAGTTAGGTCATCAATCCCACTTTGGGATTTTAAGTAACTAAACTATTTTTTTACTTTTTTCTGTGTGTTTTATGTATCTTTAGATTATATAATTTCTAAAATGTAAATCTGTATTGCAGTTATGATGATTGCGGTAACCTCAAGCAGTCGACTGTGCTTCAAGCAAAGTTTGAAGTTTAATATTCTTGCTTGCGTAACGATGACGAGGCATAACGAGTACTTGAACCTGAGAATTCGCGGAGGGACAGGAAGCGAATAAATAAATATGTTTTTCGGTCATTCTCCCGGCCGTGAGGCAACAGACAGCGAAGACATTGTGTCAACATATTGTAAATATATAATTTTAACAGCTTTACACTTGTGACAAAGACAAGGATCTGACAATGTTCACCTGGTTAAAAATTACGCTTAGAAATTACGCCGGCTTAGAAAATAGCATGCCGTGTTTTTAAGAATAAAGATACTGAAATTCTGTATAACTTCGAGCGATATTCTGCAGCGCTAGACAGTCGTAAACAGAAAAACTAAAAAAAAAAAAAACAAAGAAAAATTCGTTCAAATTCGTTCGAATCGTCGAGCCCATCAAGTCGTTCAATTTCATTCGATATCTCGCGGGTTTTGCCACAACTTTCCGCGCGTCGCCCTCACCTGTTCCGGGTTACGGAGGTGAAGATCCGGGTGCGCCCCGTACGGATGCTCCTCCCCGTCCGGGAGCTCGAGCCGCGGCGGCAGGTTGAGGGCGAGATCATGCCGGACGCTCTCCGCGCGGATCGCGCGATCCCTCGCCGCGGCGATCATCACCGCCTGCATATCTCGACGCCTCCTGGCCTCGTCGCCATCGCCACCGCCGCCGCCACCGACTCCACCGCCGACCGCACCGGCGGTCGGGTCATCTTCCGCCGATGCACCGCGTCCGCTGCTGCCGACCTCCATTCCTTGGCTCACCGACAGCATCTGCAAAATCGACGATCGTGTTTACGCCTTCGGAAAAGGCACAGGATGGCGCGATGCATTATCACGCGAAAACATTGCGAAATTTCCGGTTGTTTAATCTGCGCGAAACGCGACGATATTATTATTTTCGTTCTACAAGTAGAAATTACTGAGGGATCGGCAGGATGTGAACCGGTCAGACAAATAAAATCGAGAGCTTTTATTTGTGTATTTAATTAATGAAAGAAATGATTGATTACAAAAGAGGTATTATACGTAAAAATAACTCGCGAACGTGCACGACGTCTACAACCATTACCTTCCATTTTCATCGCGGATTGTCTTCCTCACTGTAGCGCGTCTAATTGAAAATAATTACTCGACTCGATCGCGACTTTTCGCCCGTTCGAACTTTGATCGACGCGGTCCGCCTATACTGTTAAATTCGTAGTGTCAAATTATACTCAATTTGAGTTATTTTTAACCATAAGAATAGGTCGCCACTGCTCAATATGGCGTTAACTTAAATAAACCAATGTTAAAATAACACTGTTTTGTGTTTAAATAAATTTCGACACGCATGATATAGTTAAAAATAACAAAATGTTATTTAACTCAAGGTATTGGTTTAAATTTCATCCTGTAATATTTAACAGTGTACTAAATAACACGAACATGTATCTAAAGTAATAATATGATTAACGGAAAACGCATTCTTACATTATTATGTTCGATAATAAAAAGCATCACGGTGGCTGAATGTTATATTACTTTCACAAATCATTTGATGATGATGCGCGATTTAACAAATCGCGAGTTGCCTCTATCGTGGATTCTTTTCTTGTCAGCCTTTGCCGAAAGCGCAAAAGGCAAGGAATGGTTCTTACTGCGATGTCGCGTCTCATGCTCGCGACTATTTCACTACGAATGTTTGAGATCAAAGATAAAGGAAGAAAACTCTAAATTCTGTTTAATTCCGGCGGAAGATATTCGTGCAAAAATACGAAAATTCCTGCTCGTCGTGCCGTAATAAAGTAATACATATGGTGACTGCTATTATCCGGCGCCGAGGAAAGGGTCGCGATCGTGAGCCCTCGACTATATGGTCGTGAATAAATTAGTGCAGAAAATGAAATTGCTCGACCATTCGATCAGGAGAGCGGCCGTTGTACGTGGATGTAGATATTAGTGCTGTGCCGTTGCACTCGGTTCACGTAAATAATTGCATATAAATCATATCATTATATCCGCAGGATTAATTTCACTGTGATGTTGATTATTCATACAATCGAACGTATATTCAAAATACTTTGATTCGTGATCATCGCCGTCGTGAAACGCGCATTGCTTTAAAAACTAAAAAATGATCATTGCGCGCATAAATGATAAACACGTACATTTTATGGGAAAATTTAAAAAGAGATAAAGCTATTTTTCATTTGCAAAATTGATTTCAAATTACAATGTATTGAATGTATGAATAAATCAGTCTTGAACCGAGCGCTATAAAGTTCATAACGCAAACGTCGCAAACATTCTCACAAATTCAAGAATTATGCAAGTGACTTCGACAATAGGCCTGTTCGTTTTTGCGCCACTTCTGAACTAGTGTATATAATAAGTTAGAGTGAAAGAAAATATATTTGTTTCATTCTAACTTATTGCACTAGTTCAGAAGTGCAGCGAAAACGAACAATATTCTACTAGATTTCTCTGAAAGTTATTTAGAATTAACTAAGATTTAAACTAATCATCTATCTTTTTCTCGATTCTAAATTCTGCGATAGAATTTCAGACTCTGTCTAATTCCGATAATTGTGTTTCAGTTTCAGTCAAACACCTCGATTAGCCGAACTCGACCGTTTTCTCTTACTTCCAACGACTTCGCCCGTTCCCTTCGCGGATTCGGTTTAAAACATCTGCTCAGGGCACGCATGCACGCGCGCGTACATATACGAGAAACGCTCGTAAGAGGCGGGTCGAAAAACGTCACGTCGTGACAGTTGGCGGTATCACAGGATGCCGTGGTTCGTGCACACACCTCGAAAAGTAAAACGGAGAAGGTCGTACGAGCTTCAAGTGCCGACGAGCCATGGCGAAAGAACGAGGTCGCGTGCAAACGTGCACTCGCGACTCGCGCGCTTTCCTTTTCGTTCCGCGTTGCGTCTTTGGTTCGCACGTTCGTCCAATTAGTCGTAGTTCGAAATAGATCGATCGTGTGTGACTGTGACGACCGTGAAAGCCGCCGTCCGCGTCGCCGCCGCGCGTGTCCGAAAATATATCTCGCGATGTTTATCGTCAAATTTATAGATATTTCGATACCCATTAAAATACTGATATATATATCTCTGTATATTTTGGTATCATACATTATGTATCTTTTTTTTTTTTGTGAAACAGAAACATAAATATATTTCTGAACACGCTGCGCTATGTTTTAATTAAAAGAATAGTTTTGCGATAAATTTAATATGGTTCTCAAAAACAAGCTCTACATTGTATCGATTATCAAGTTTAATTTGATGGATCAAACATTGGCAGAAATAATTTCCAAAAGTCTTGATTATAATGATATTTATAATTATATATCGTATAATAATAAAAAGACGCGGAGAATTAAAAAAGATTCTTTATTCCATTAATTTTGCTTCCAAACGTATAATAAAGATCCTCGGCCGCGCGCGGCTCTGAAGTGGAGAACGTTTCTTAATGATATGATCTTACGACTAGACTTGATCGTGATTTAACGAGCAAGAGCCGACGCCGAAGTCTTTCTCTTTCGCGAACATTCGCTGGCACGTGCGCGTGTTAACGACTGATGAGTCGGTCGGTCGGTCGCGTTAAAGCTTTAAAGGGGTTTTCAGCACCCCTCCGCTCGCGTTCTCGCGCTCGTCCGAGGCCGTCGAAAGGGAAAGCGGAAGAGGGATGCGGCGGCGACGGCGGCTGTTGCTGCGACGACAACAGAGCGAGGGTGTGCGACTGTGCGGAGACAGCAACGACAGGAGCGACTGACACACAGAGGGATGAATGTTCGCGCCGCTCGCGTACCATTCGTATCGATCGACTTGCAGCATAACATCACGCTCGCTCGTTACCAATGTAATGCAGATGCGCGGGGAGAACCCTTCGATCAGAGATACGCGGATATTTTCAGAATCTCTCCATCGTATCAAGCGCTCTCGTGTTCCGATAACGTTATCGCGCGCGATACATGTTTTGTGATTATTGTCTTTCATCCGCAAATTATAAAATTGATTATGATAATTCTGTATATACCATATCTATATTTTTACTGCCTTTCCGATATAATTTTAACCTTCCTGAACTCACCCTATGTTTCATGACATATAGACTCGCACCACGGTGTATGTAAGACCACGATTTTTATATAATAAAAATATATCATATTAAGTTTGTTTTTCGCATAAACTTTCATTTTTTGTTAAAGTTGAGGTCTCCTAAAAAAATTGAAAAAATAGTAAATAAAATTCAATCTTTATTTCTGATAATATGTTTTGAAGTTATATGGTTTTCGGAAAAAAACATCGGTTTTGCAATGTGTTTCGTCGGTCTAAGAGATTGTGGGTGAGTTCAGAAAGGTTAAATCATTTTTTTAGAGCTTTTATCTAATGTGTCTCGCATTAATAAATTTTTGTGAATTTATGTACTTCGTTTATACAACGCTTAATCTTTGTTTATTTATAAAATACTAAATATCATGTTGCTATCGCTTATAATACTATCTACAAAATAATCCATAACAAATGACTAGGTATAACGTTATCTTTTAATTATTATTTTCTAAACGAGAAGTTCGTAAAGAGTATAAACTTCTTTATTATTTCTACAAACAAAAAAGTCCTCTTGACAAAATTAAAAGGGATTTTGGCGTAACACTTTTGCAGAAAAACGGTATAATAATAATCCAAAGAGAAAATCGTTCGAGCGAGTTTATCTCAAAACGTGCGAGAACCAATGTCACTCTTCGAGTAAAAGGATCTATATATGCCGAGTATAAGAATATGCTATATTTGGTGCATATATTTTCTTCTATCTCTTTTCAAGACAGAGATGAAAGATTCTGGTTCAAAAGTGACACGAATATTTGATGAATCATTTGATTCGAGTTATATCGCATATTATATTGTGTCGCAGTTATCACGATGTAACACGACTCATTCAAATCTGAATATAATTATTAGCGTTCAGAATATTAATTTTGATACGTAGTTTTAATTGGATCTGTGGTGAATATAATTGCAAAAGTAAAGCAATTCTCGTATACCTATCAAGAGAGAGATTCTGTATTCATATAGAAACAGATCCTAAAAAGATCAGACTTTCCTCTGAGTAAATAAACCCAAATGTCCTGAAAAAACTAAATAGAAATTGCTTTTATTTCTCGCACATTTATATTCTTTCGTTTATTCTTAGATAACATTGCATTTCACGTTTTCATACTGTATTACGTAACGATTAAATTTTTCGCGGGATGAGAAGCTGAGCTGAGCGAGTGAAGCGGACAACCCGGATACGCGAGGACGAACGAGAGGAGATGAAAGAGTGACGAGACGAGCGTGAGGTCGTTCGGTCGATCGATCGGAGATAGAGTTAACCGGCAAGCGACGAAGGGACGAAGTTTGCTCGGGCTGATGCTGGTGCTCGAAACACCATAGCGGCCTCGCAAAAGCCCGCGGAGCGGACGGCGATGTTGTAACGGACTTTATGACTCCCCGAGCCACCTCGGTGGACCATAAAACCGCTAGTCGCTGTCGCAGTTGCACAGCTCGCTCGATACCGCTGCGCGCTCGGCTCGGCTCGAAACGTGACACTGCCACCGTCATCGTCGTCGTCCTCGTTCTCTTCGTTGTTGGCTCGATTGAAATTGCAGTTTCAGAAAAGGGTAAACTTCGCCGCATCGATCGCTCGCGCGCGCTCGCGGGTATTATACGCCCCGAGAAACTTACACCTCTCTCCCAGGCTACCTTCTCCCGGGACGTCAAAGTCACCCGGCGACGACA